TATATGTCATTTTTTTGGTTAACATCCCAGGAATGGAGTTCATTTTAGGGTGTATGTTAGAGCTGCTAGGTAATTACTATACTGGAAAGACTTCCAGAAAAGTAGCTATATATAAACAGCGTCTTCTCTTTACCTACACGTATTCCATCACATGGGTTACTTTGCTAGCAAAAGTTATTCCTTGTGCTGCAGCTTTTGCCACTGGCTTGGAAACCTGAAAGGTTTTGGAAGTCCAAATTTGTATTGGCTCAAGAAAATCTTAGTTGTGGGCAATTGTTATTACTAATGTGTAGGCCAAAAAGAGCACAACATGGGTTGATTTACCAGGACTGACGATCGGAAAAGCAAAATGCACAAATGCCAGAGCCTGCATGGATGCGCACACACAGATTTGCCCACACTGAAAATGTATCTGATTTACTCTCATCATTAAAAAAGATCACAATAACAGTCTTAAAAAATCATTAAAAAAGCATTTTCTGTATAAAACATGAAATAGAATTCAAATATAATTCACTAATTTATATAGAATTTATTTCGCGATGAGGTTTTTAAAGCTCTAGTGTTCTGAATTACAACTAGTCATTTTTAACTTAAAAAGCACAACAAGGAACAATGCGTGAACTATCAGAATTCAACTCTGGTTGTCAGAACATCTGAATTAGACTGCAAATGTTAGAAAATTTATAATCACTTTTGAGAATTGCTTTTGCTGTCATTAGCTCCACTGTTACCACATTCTATCATATCGCGCAGTTTTGTAGTGGTGAAAGAAGCTGTCATTTTGTGATAGCGAAATAAATATCGCATCATTAATTTGAGAGGTCTTAGTTTATAAAGGAAGGATGTTAACTGGGAGCAACAGGTTGGAGACTAAGAAATGTTAAGACCTCACATACACCTTTCAGTGTGACTGTTCCCCACCCAAAACAGTATATAGCCTTCACTGTCACGGTTACACCGTCAGTGCCAGCAAACAGCAACAACGGAGGGAAGTTTAGAGAAATGAGACAAATGGAAGGAAATGGAACCTGCCTTCTAACGATGCCTTCCAAGGCCCAGGGCTTGGGCTAAGTGTTTTTTTCCCCAGTTGAAATAAGAGTACAAACCTCGTAAGTAATGTATTTGTTGACAGCTATTGACAGTGTTTTGAAAGTGTGTGTGCCACTCCAACTACTGAAAAGTATTAGTATTAAGGACTGAGAAAATAAATGTATTTTTAACACAGTTGCATGTTCTTAATCTTCAGTGAAGAGCTCAAGGTACTTACAAAATACTGAAGCTAGGATTGTATAGGTGAGAATTTCCTAAATCTACAGTGTTTGCTGTAATGGCTTGGTCAAACACATCTGATGTGCTTGTGCATAGTGCACCATGGACAAGAGCACACAGATCCGTTCTGTGCCGCATTTTGGTGTATTATCTCCCGGTTTGCTAAGCTACAGCGGGAGGGCAAACAGATATTGATGCTTTTCAGGTACTTGACTTAATGTGTTTCTGAATTCCATGTTTTTATTCAGTGGGTGATTCGATCTCTTTCTGTGTTCTGCAGCTTTTCAAAAAACAGGGATTCACAGCTGCCAAAAAATGCAGTAGTCTGGCAATTCACAGGGCTAGCTCATGCCAGCAGCGGCATGTCCACGAGTGGTGATTGTGCCATTAAATGTAAAGGTGATTTTGCCAATTTAGCCCTCAGATGATCAGTACCAGCACAGCCCGATAGCCCTTCTCACTCCAACAGGAACGAGAGCCGCACTTGAACGGCTTGGGGGTCTCGTGTGGAGCTGCAGTTATAATAATCCCGTCGGCAAACACTGCAGATTCCATGTGTGTAAGGGTGCAGTTTGGATGCGCTCCAGAACTGAGTGCATTTCCTGGCTGCGGTTCTGCTCGGTGTGCACCAAGCTCCAGCAGAAGAGGCCGGTCTAGTCCAGGAAAGGGTTTACTTTGGAGATGTCCAGTTTTCATTCTAGTCAGGAAATTTATAATTATGTGACTTCTTCCATTTATCCCTTTACCTGAAATACTCATGTTCCCGGCTTAGTACTATGTTCAATGCCTTTCAATGATTCCTGATTTCCCCCACTCATGTGTTTTTCTTTCATTAAACTATTCAATTTTGCAAAAGAGCATTCTACCTAAGGCACAGAAAATGTTTGACTTTAACGGTAAAATCTGAAGTATCTAGGAGGATATTTAATGTTCTCCTCTTAATTTCAACTCTAATTCTGTTATCCTTGTTCAGTCATTTAGTGCTGCATTTCCTTTTCACTTGTTGATTATTTTTATAATCAGACTTATTATATGTAGCTGAATGACTCATATTGTGGATATAGGGCTGCTTTCTTGTAGAAATAAAAAGCACTTCAAATAGGACAGCATCCATCTCTGACTGTCTTATGATGTAACTAAAGAAATCTTTTTTTCCATTCTACGTGGAATTATTATTATGGTTCCATCATTTTTCTGTTTTGTTAATAATATGATGTATATTTTGTATACAATGAAATATTGTTAAGAAGGAAATAATAATAATAAAGGTCAATACCTCAAACTATATTTAATTTATACCTAACACCACACAATCAGCTGTTAAAACTGTAATCAATGATCACGCATGTTCTTGTTTCCTGGCTGCTTGCTTAGTCAGCCTTACATTAACCACACCTGGCAGTTCAAACTGATAAATCACATACAGCTGTGGTTAAAGGGTAGGTTTTTGTTTTGTTTGGTTTGTTTTTTCTGGGTCATGAAGAACATAAGAAACAAAGACTTCCTTTCAGAGAATATGTATACAAAAGCACATCTTATTAAAAAAAAGAAAAAAAAAAGAGAAAAAGAGCGGGGGAAAAAGTATTTATGAACATATAATAATTATATGTTATGTATTATTTCTAATTCTAATTAGAAAACTAACTTCTGGTTCTTCATAGCTTTCTTATTGATTAATATAGGATTTTTAGTGATGTTTCTTGGAGTTCGGCTTTGGTGCATAATATCTAAGTTGTTTTTTTTGTTTGTTTGTTTTTAGGCAAATTTAAAAAAGGAAAGAAAAGATCTTCCATGTGGAATGAAAGGGGCAATCTAGGAATCCAGAACTTTGTTTTAGAATATTTAAGTCTATTTGAAAAACTCTCTAGAGGTCAGAGAAGGGAGGATTGTTCTTCGTGAGGGCATAAATGAAGAGAAAGTTTAGACTTTTCTGTATTGTCATATTGGCATGCATACTTACTCAAATTTACTATACAAATATAATGCTGAATAACAAAATATTTAGCTTTTCTGGTATTGTAGCCAGAAGCTAGTATTTGTAATTCATGCTGAGAGTTGATTAAAGAATGGGGACCAGCTACAAAAAACAGACCTAAAATGTTATAGGCAGATTTTTTATCTAAGGAATGACAGACCTTGAGAACTGGAATATCAAAGTCTTATCTACTTGTCTTCCCTAGCTCTGTCTTGTTTTTATACTTTATCTTTTTTGTTATTAGCTTGGCTCTGCTCTTTCTTATCTTGTACACCCCATTTTCTATTGGTTACAGACTGTGGAAAATTTTCTGATTTCCTTCATTCATCAACTTTCCCTTCTTCTAGCAGGTTTTTTTTTTTTTTCTTTTTTTAATTGGTAAAGGAGTCTTTAGGAAATTGTAAAATCCTGATTGAAGAACCATGACATATTGTAGTATATTTTTTCTTTAACTAAACTCTTGCCTGGGTTGTAAATTCTGAAGAAAAAAACTCTGTCCTTGTCACTGTTACACTGTTGATCACTGATTTCGAAGAATCCGGATGTATCTTACTAAGCAGGCATGAGAATTTTGAGGTAAAAATACCTATATTGGGGGATTATAATAAGAAAATGGCAGCTGTTAGCAGAATGTTGTGATGATCATGATGATGCTTCATTAGCTACGGAACATCCATTGGCCAGATTCTTTTCTCTGTGTCAAGACCGGGTATTCCTTTTTTCTATGTTAATTTGCTTATGCACCAACATACCACAATTTATGTCTTATCAAAATGTTACTGTGAAACGTTGCTTAGAACCTGCCTTCTCTCATAAAAAGAATGACAAGAAACAGCTTGAGGAAGAGCATGCTTTTTTATTAGCATCCTGCTTTCCAGCTTTGAAAAAGATCTTGTATCTGGCAGATGTGGCAGCCAACGTCTGAATGAACAAATGCTCCAAATCCCTGATCCAAGTGGTTTACCTTCCTGAATCCTGATCTACGTTTCCTGATTTACCTTTCTGAATTCTCTTCACCTTTTGGCAAACAGTTTTCTAGTGATTTCAGATGCACTGAGGCTTCAGAAATGTGCAACTTATTATAAACCTAATTCTGTTTAGAAGAGATATCACTGTGAGATGGAGAAGAGTAGGCAGCAAAAGTGCAAAAAGTGTTTTCTCAGGCAAGTTGAGAGCCTGCGCACTGAGGCTTCAGAAATGTGCCGCTTATTATAAACCTAATTCCGTTTAGTAGGGACATAACTGAGATGGAGAACAGTAGGCAACAGAATCCCATTGCAAAGGTGTTTTCTCAGGCAAGTTGAGAGCCTGAGTGGTGGACACGAACAGGCTTCCTACAGGTCTGCAAATTCTGGTATCCAAAGAGGGTTTTCAGCTGTAGTTGAAACCACCAACCCTGACCTCTCTTGTTACCAGTGCTGACCAGGAAAACTGGGTTGGATACTCAGGATTTTTAAAAATGAGTAATGGTAATATTGTATGACACATTACAGATTTCATTTAATGTTTCATGAAGATTTGTTTTCCTGGTAGGGAATTTTGCACAGTTCAGTTTGAAATATGATTGTATGTGGTGCATTTTGTTCTGATGAAAATCAAAACCATGTAGGCTGGCATGCTGTACAAATGGCAGGCCAGCCCTCCCCTGTGGAATTGGTATGTTTTATGTGTGTGGTGAGGTTTTTTAATTATTTTTTTTGTTGTATATTTCCAGATAATTTGCTAACAATTCTCTAAAATTATTTTTAGCTTTAGATCCGGCTAAAGATCCATGTTTAAAGATGAAATGTAGTCGCCATAAGGTCTGTGTTGCACAGGATCAACAAACTGCTGCTTGCATTAGTCACCGAAGACTTACACACAGGTAAATACTTTAAAAGTAAATTCTATAGATTCTCTTATAGTTTTCATGACAGATTGTAAACTATAAATATAGTGTGATTAGTTAAGCTAATTAACAACATTTGGGCAAAGCAGAAGTGGATCTGAGAAGTAACTATGCATGCATAATTTGATTTGATTGTTCAATATTTGATTTTTTTACAGAATGGTAAACTAAAGGGTATGCATATCTAAGTAGCATAAGCTGCTGATATAACTTCCTACATTCAAGTACATACCAACTGTGCTATAATGATTGTGATAATGTCCTGCTGCTATACATTATGTGGACTTCAGCATTTCTTATATAAAGCTAGAACAAGCAAAACTGTTAAACAAATTATCTATTTTTCTGACTGTACTCACAACCCTACAGATTTTATATAGTGGTACTTTTCTGCCTGTGTGCGTTCCTATTTTCTTGGAGTTCTAGGCTGGTGAATTATAAGGAAGAAATTTGTGACAAAGTTATTCCGCAATCAGAATATAGGTTATATTTATTCTTATCTTCCTGGGGGGAAGGAGGAGAGTTGTTTCACAGTTGCAGATGCTTTACCTCTATACAGATCTGAGTGTGTCAAATATTAATGCACTTTTGTGAATTTAATTAGGGCCAGAAAGACAGTAGATAGGGCTAAAAAGGGCTAAAAAATACTCATAGGACTGTTGAGACATGAGATGCAGGACGAGGAGTCAAGTTGCATTTTTGACCTGATATTATTATTATTATTATTTGCATTTGCATTTCATCATAGAAGCAGAGCATAATAGAAAGGATAATGACCCAGTAGTCACTAGACTTGTAGAACATGCTTGAAATAAGTGTTAGAGTTATTTGCATAGTAGGGGCAGAAAAGAACCTGCTATTAGGAAAAGACAGATTTTCTTTTTTTTGTCCATTTAAGAGGATACTTTCAAGATTTTTAGAAAACTAACACAGTTTTATGAGTGATCTTAGACACATTCCTTCTGGTTTCTGGCTATGTTTAAACATACTTGGCTGTAGCTTTTCCATCAAGCAAAATAGTATTTGTTCCATAGTGAAAGGCAATGTCAGCTTTAAGCTTTCCTCAATTTGCAGCTGCAGTTAACTAACAAAACATATTTGAAGAGCAATGCTGTTTATGTCCAACAAGATCAGTGTAGAACAAGACATTTGGGGTTGAAAAAGTATTATATGTGTTGAAAGAATTATATTCAGACAAAGTTGATATGGACTAATTTCATCTGTATATGAACTGTCAGGGGAATAGGTAAGTGTCAATTGTGAAAAGAGAAAGCAATTGTTTGAACATGTTTAGATTTTCTGAGAAAGTATCACACACATCACTGGAAACAGTGGAAACGACTTCTCAAAGTTAAGTCTCCATGCAGCAGGTAAGTACTGAAAACTCTCTTAGACTAGATCAAGCTGCATGCAATTGTTCAATTACTAAACACATTGGCGTTTGTGTTCATATTTGTATTATTCTTCCCATAGTCTTTGACGTTCTGTCAGAAAGATATATTTTTTAAGAGGCCGAGCCTGCCTGGATGTAGTAAAGCCCATAATGAGAAGAGCCAGACGTCGCAGCAGCTTGGTGATTAGCCCCTGTAGCAAGCAGAGCAAATCTTGTCTGCTCAACTACATTAAACCATTCTTTACATACCTATCTTGAGCCAGAATGGGGATTAGATTCCTCTGTTCTTCAGGCTCAAGGAGAACTTAACTTATTTCTTCCTAAAGAGGTTTTCACCTTGCATTCTGTGGTGCTCCTGTAGTGTGGTAAGGTCAGAAAATGAGCAGCATGCTCACAAGCACTGTCTTGTACACGGCTCTCTCTACTTCTACGTGACTTCCATAGCTCAAGGCATTCGTTGCAGCAGGATATCCGAAAGAAATAGGCAAGGATACAAGAAAACAAGGTGTAAAATATATTATTTTTAATAAGATCGAATGTAAAAACAATTCTACACATAAATTTAGCAGGACAAATGTATGGATGAAAAATATTAAAAATAGTTAAACTTTTATATACAAAGTGATAGTGAATAGTCTGCTCCCTAAATTTCAGAAGTATGCCAGTTATCAAGTCGCAGTTCTGGCTTTGTAGCTTACAGCAATTTTTTTGCTGCAGACTTTCTTGCTGTTCACTCTTTTCATAAAATATTTCAAAGTGTGTGACATAAAGTTTGAGGATGGGCCTCAAAAATCTGCTTTCCTTAACTAGTACAACAGGCAGGTGACTTTTGCAGAATTGTATTGATCTGCCCAGACCCACAGGACTACACCAAGAATCATGAGATGCTGGGGCTAGGTTTGAAACCAAGTTAGCAGAAGTGGTTTGCTGTTTCTTCAGTTTCCGTGGCAGCAGAGATGATGGTTTCCCATCAGCGTTGAGTTGTGGCACACAGGGCTTATTCCCTTTACTGGGAGGCAGTAAAGATGGCAAGTGCTCTCCTAGCCAGCTTCTACAGTGCCACATTTTTTTACTGTCCTCTAAAAACTGAACAGTGCTTGAAAAAAGGATAGGAAAGAGTACTGTAGATCAGTGCTTGTGCGAGCAGCTTGCCATATCAGTGTATATGTCAGGGCATGGTTAGAGGTGCCTGATTGTGTGGATGGCAGAAAGTTAACCAGGTTTGCACCTCTGCTGGTTATAACTGTGTTGGAAGCTTTGGTGTGTGTGTGTGCTGTGCTTAGCTGTGTGCTGAGAAAAAAGGGGAAGTGCCTTTTTTAGAGGGAAACATGCAGTGTGTATATATTGATGTTATTCATCCAAATACTTCTACTGGGATTGCTTAGCTGCCTACACTGGAGTGAGTGATAAGCAGATCGTTGCAAATCTAGTATAGAATAGAATTTTTCATTGATTCTGTGAAACTCCAGAGATTTATAGTAACTTTTGTGAAAATGGTGTCTTACAATTCCTGTGTGCTTTCGCGTTTATTGGTTAAGTGATAGGCTTGATGGGGGAAAAAAGATAAAATATCCCGAACTGTAATAACGAAATGGCTCAGAATATACCTCTTTCACATTGTAGAATGCGGAAATGTTTGTTTGCAGATACTTGCAAGTGCAGGTAAATAATTTTTAACTTATTATATGCTTGGAACATATATTGAAGCATATAACAGGTAGTAACACATAACTTAATTTGCCCTTAAAATGGAGTTATGTGAACCAAAGACTATCTTACCAAGCCAGACAGTGTGCAGGTAAAGTTCTAGGCAAATAAATGAACTGTAGGTGAAGAGCAGGACTCCTGGAGATTTGTAAAAGGGTTTACAAATCCCCTTTAAAAGGGTGTGAGTTTGAGCACAGCAGAGTACTTGCATTTAAGCAGCACAACAAGCAGGTTTATAGTGCTTTAGTTTTAGGAGGATTGCTTTTACTGAAATTCATTTTGGTTACTGCTATTTAGTCAAGGCAAAGATGTTTAATATGTGAAAGAAAAAAAAAAATCTCTGTTTCTACTTCAAAAATTTTTCCCTGCTTTTATCTCAAGTCAGCTGCATCAGGCAAATTACAAATCAGGTCAGTTCTGTTGAGACCCAGTCATTAGATAGTCTGTTCTGATGTTTGATTGTTTATTGTGCAAGAAACTAGCCACATATTGAGTTGCTTAGGAACATTTAGAAATGTATTTTATCTATCGGCTGTGGAAATGTAGAAAATTGTAACACAGTTTTGGGCTAAAAATCACTATCCAAGTAAATCTGAGTGTCTTTTGTATGTTAGAACCTAGTGACTAACCTTGTACTGATTTATTCTAATGGAATCTGATAAAATATAAAGTTTCTTTTTCAATAATTAAAAAAAGTACAGAGTACAATTCACTGGTTACATCAAATAAATCAGTGTTTTGGATGGGCGAGTCATTTTTCTAGAGAAATGTAGGCCTTGGGGAAGTGCCAAACTCGCGATTCTGAATTGATACAACTGCGTTTAAAGCAAGGTCTGTTTAGTCAAGACCAACAGCAGCTGACTAGCCATGGGCAGCCAACATAATCAATAGGCATTTAACTAAGTTAGAACAAAATTGTAGCTGTTCTTCCTCATTAGAGCTCCACAAGGCAGGCCTCAGACAGCGTGCAGGCTGCGCTGGCTTCACGTGGGAAGCTCAGGAGCAGACACGCAGTCTAAAAGGCCTCATTAATGATACACAGGTCACTAGTGTATGGATTTGGAGAGCGAGGGGTGTTGCTGTCTGCGTAAAAGGTCGTCTTTATTTTTGAATGTAGCTTTAGGGACAAATCTGCCCTGTCCCAAGCCTGTGAGCTAATAGTTGTAAAAATGCCATATTACTTAATCCATATAATTTACAAAGGTAGGATATTCAGGTAGTCTAATAGATTTTGTGCACTTCACCTTATTGCGGTTTCCTCTAAGCTTTCAGGTTAAATAACATTTTGAAGTGTTGATTTGATTCAAATCATTGGTTGATTAGTTTATTATCTTGCTTTGGACTTCTGCTCTTTGATGATGTTTTTGAAGAATGCTGGAAAAAAGGAAGTTGAAAGTTTAATTCACTACTGCTTTTTCTGAGTTCGTTTACTAAAAGTTCTTCCTCCCTGACTGTGCTCACCTTAATGTTCACCGTAACATGAAGAAAATGTTCCATCTCAGCTATGAAATGATGAGTGCTGGGCCCTGAATCATGAGATTGGGTAACCTTTTCCTGTGATGGATGATGAGGTAAAAACCCAGAGTAAATTTCAAGTGCTACAGAACTGTAGCAGGATTATACCGAGAAGGTGAAACTGGAACCTTTGCAGTTTCCATTTTGAGGCACTGCGTGACTGAGGAGATAATGTCCCCAGGCACAGAGAGTCACTAAGTCCTAGTAAGTGCGAGGAACATTTGATAAGAAGAGAGAGTGCGTGTGCACAAATATAGATGTATTTTTTCTGCTTATATCGTGCACATGTATGATGTTTTCAGATCATACTTTGTGATCTAAGGTGCCTTGCTATGACAACCAACTGAAGTGCCAGATTTCC